CCAAACACAGGTGGGAGCCTCCTCTGTCTGCTCTTTCACTGAGCAGAGAGGTTTGACCACTCATGGTATCATTGTTGATCAGGCACAGATTACCAGCCCCCCCACTTCCCTGATTCTCTCGAGTGTCTTATCACGCAGGGTCTTCCTCAAATTGAGGGGCCCAGCTCTCTGAGCACCCTACTGCTGCAGTTTGGCAAAATTCTTTTGCACTTGTAGTAAAAATGATGTGTAATTCCCACTAAGAAAAAGGATGAGTCTTTCTCTCTTAGTAAAATGATTTGGCATTGACATTAGATTGTAAATCCTGGGAAAGTTGCAACTTAAAAACATAGCTTCCTTCCGCCCTCTATCTGTCTAACAGCCCCTAATCTAGTGTCATGCTCACTGCAAGTGATGAATAGACAAAGGTTGTACTGAACGAATATGAATGGTAGTGAAGGCTGGCGAGCGCTCCCACAGCACCTGCTTGTTACAAGAGGAAGGACCCATTTCTGGGGAAGACTTCCGACTATGAAATGGCCTAGAGCTAACGAAAGGCAGGGTAGTGCTATGGAAAGAACATGCAATCCAAACTCTGCGGTCGCTGTATGACCTTCAGCAAATCGCTCAACCTCTCTGAGCCTCAGACTATGAAAATGGAACACACCTATCATATGAGAAGCGCCTGGAATATGGTAGGTGGTCTGAGAGCCTTATTTGTTCAATCATTTCTTTCAAAACATTCTTACTGGCAACTGCTGCCAGACACTCCCTGTGCATTGTCCTCGACTACAAAAGAGAGCAGGACATACAGGCGCCTGGTAGATTCCCTCCTCCCCCGTCTCTTTCTTCCCTGAGGACGGTAGTTCCTGCAGCACGTAGTTAATAGAGGTGCCTGAAGTCCAAGTTGCTGAGGGAAGAGACAGGAAGGAGCAAGAAGATTGGGGAAACTGAGAACTGGCCTCCTCCACCGAGTCCACGAGGCCCCGCGTCCCAGTCCCCTGACTGCAGGGGCCCCGGCAGGCGCGGCCAGAGTGCGGTCTCATCTGTCTGCTCCTGTCCCACACTGTGCACAAGCCACGGGGTCACCAGGGCCACATGAGACCATTGCACCTTTTCCACTGTGGTGGAACAGAGATCCTCTAGTGCTCTAGGTCTGCGTTTAAATGAGAAGCAGAGGATGGATGGGTTGGTTTCTGCGCCACCAAGAGAAACCTCCGTGCAGTGGAAAATGGTGCGCTAATCACACACAGGCCTCAGCACTGTGCTCTTCTCCAGGCTCTTCAGGGGATTGTGTTTGCATTTTCCTCACCCTCGGACCAGCATTTGCATCTCTCCTGCCTCTCAGGAGTTCAAACCTCATGAACTCAGACGCTGCAAAGTAAGGATGGAAAAATCCTAGCAAGGAGTCTCTCTTTGAATCTATGACAACTCTATAGCCCTGGAACACACCGTATTTGGGAACATGCACTTATTTTTATGATTTTGTGCTTCGAGCCCCAGCCCCCGTGCATCCACGTGCTGGCGTCTGCCTGGGCCATCTTTGAGAGCAGGGTCCGCGTCTCTGCTGTCAGGCTGGAGGCACCTTGAAGGCAGGGGGTGTCTCCCCCAGCACATTGGAGGTCCTCTAAGGGCAAGTCTGAACCTCAACTTTCAAAAGCCTCTACTTTTGATGTGAGTCCAAGTCCGTGGGCCCGGAAAACAATTCTGACCTCATTATCATAAAAAGAGCTCTTGACGATTTCCTGGTACACGGTTTCCTGAGATTTCAGATTGACAGGCTCTGGAGCTACCTTCATCTACTTCTTTCACCTGCTGAGAGTGGAAGTGTCACCCACACACTTTGGGATGCGGGGGAACGAAGTACAGAAGAGGGGAGGGGGCGTGGCGTCCTCAGGTCAACCAATCAATTCCCTAACTCTCAGGCTATTGGACTGGACGCCACATCAGCCCAACTGATCCCCGGAGGGAGGGGCCAGAGCCCGTGCTGGATCCGAAAGCGCACACTTTCTGGCATCATTCCCTGGTCTATCCTTAATCCAACTGAAAATTAAAGGAAAACACCAAAAATATCTCTCTCGTGGTGTGGCTGAGACGTTCCTTTTTCGGAATCCTTATGCTTTTCACCACCTAAAAGGTTGATGAGGGGACGAGGATCATGTCTTCCTCATTTATTATTTCCGCCCCCTCCCCCACGCCACCATGTCATGACGCCATGCCATGGTAGATGCCTTTGTACAGATGAATGAATGTAATGTTCAGGAAGGACTAGGGATGGATCTCCTCATTCTCCTGGCAAATGGTCTCAACCCAAAGTATCTGCACTATCAGTCTTTTGTTGGAGACAAACTGTATTCTGGGGTCTTGGGGCTAGGGGGCAGTGTTCACCTATTGGTACAAGCTGGAACTCTGTGTGTGTGTGTGTGTGTGTGTGTGTGTGTGTGTGTGTGTGTGTGTGTGTTGATGATGATGACTGAACGTGAATAAGCTCTGGTTCCAGAGAGAATTCTAGAAGTACCTTAAAACAACTTAGCTCATCTTCCCATGAGTCACCTGCTTCTTAAATATGCCTGTGAAACGGTATTCGGCAGATATGTGGCTGAACAACTAGATTTATCTGAAGATATAGGGGTTTTTTTTTTATCCAGTAAACTTTATTTATATATAACAACAGTACAAATTGTGTCCTTGGCTTGCAAAATAGGAGTGCTTCATATTTACAATAGGTACACAATAATATATTAGAATAACCAAAAAAACCCCCATTTTATTGGAACATTTTAAATACTTAATTTTCTTACAGTTTTTTTCCACAACACCTGTAAAAACAACAAAACCAGACAACTATCATTGTATTTTCTTAAAAATATATATAATACAGATTCCAGTGTGTCATGAAGAGTGGTTTGGGTAGGAGAAGTTGGGGGGAGAGGCAGGTGGGCCCTGGATCCATGGGCTTGTCCCTTGTTCCCCAGCATACTTGCTAATGTCTGCTCTGTACCGGGGGAGACCCCATTCCATTATGCTCTCCACTGACATGTCAACATGGAGGGCAAATAAAGCCAAAGTCAGGGCCTTGACTGACATCCAAAGGTGCCTCCCATCTTCCTTGAGGCTAGACAGGAGGAGTAGGCTTCACAGCAGAAAGAATAGGGCCTGTCTGAAGGTGGAGCCCTGTTACAGTGAGGAGAACAAGACGCAGGCGTCCACGAGAGGCCAAGAATCTCCATTCTGCTTATTGGGCTGAGGCCCTGTTTGACAAGCAGTGATCTTGATCAGTCAGCTCCAAGGGCATCCCTGATTCCAGGAGTGAAACTTTCATTCCTGGTAACACTGAGGCCCAAGTGCTGAAACTTCCCTCTCTGGGGAGATCAGAAGAAAGGCAAGAGACAGGGAAGAGACACTCTGGAGTTACGAAGAGGATCCCGCCGTTTTCTCAAAGCTTGTTCCTGAGACAGGCCCTGAACTTCACCTCCCAAGTCTCCCCACAAGATCTGTTTCCACGGCGCTGTAACTATGAGGCTGTTTCCAATTTTCTCACCGCTCCCCTTCTCCATGCCCCAAGAGTCTCAGTTCTTTCCGTGGTAGCCAGGCTCCAGGAGCCTCAGCCGCAGCCCAGGGTGCCTGGGAAAAAATGGCCTCCACCAGGGCGGCTGCTGGCCCGGTGTTTCCCTGCTGCAGGTTAATGGGGGCCTGTGTGGCAACTGGGGTGCACGTGGAGATTTATCAGCCAGAAGCTTTCAAACATTCTCTACTTGTTCTGCCCAGATCATTTTTAGTCCAGCACACCCATCCGTCGCTTCTGCTTCATGTTCAGCAAGGCCAGAGGCCTCGGCCGTTATTTCTTGTCCTCATTTGGTGGAAATGAAGGAAGGTCAGGAGCTCAAGCAGCAGGGGACGCGCCACCAGAAGGGGACAGCGGCAGTGGAAATGGTAGAGCCTCTCACTGCAGAAGGAATGTCCCCAGAATAAGGTAAGGCAGCTGGGTTGGTCTGCTTTCTTCCTTCTTCATATCCCTTTTCTGTAAAACTCATGCCCTCTGCAGGTGGTGAGGGAGAATTTACCTACTAAGTTGGTGGCAGGGACCAGTAGCCTGGAGAGTGTAAATCTGCTAGAAGTAGGTCCTTCTTGATCTTGCTCATCGCTGTTTTTCAGCACCCAGAACAGTGCCTAGCAGAGAGCTGCAGCGTAGGAAGGCTCCCTGAATGGATGAACATAGGAAGTAGTCCCCACCCTTGAGTGAGGTTCACAGCTGATTCATGCTTTTAATGACCGAGCTCTGCAAGGAAGGGGAGCTCTCTGCAGTGGTGGATCAGAAATGATTTGAGAGATGTGCTGTGGCGAGCGGTGGGGGGGCATACACAGAAATACCTGCCCCCCACCCCCGTGCTGAGGGCAGAGGCAGCAGACCAGGTGAAGGGATCTGCTCCACCAACATGGACATCTGGTCCACCTTCGTCTTGTCCTTCAGCACCTTCTGTCCTGCCAAGCACATTTCTGGGGGCCTTTTCCAGAGAACAGTCGCTGGTGCAGGTTAATGAAACACAATGAAGCTGGGTTGATTTTCGAGAGACATTTCCCTTCCTGCCTCCCTCCAAGATGGCTGGCTTCGTGTGGGGTGGGGGCTGCGACTTTTTTCTTACAGGAGCTCCAAATATCTCCAAATTAGGTAATAGGGAAGAGAGAGGCCAATCAACTCCCTGTTCTCCTCATTCTACAGGCATGGACTCCATTGGTTCTTGATGACCCAAAGCCAAGAGCTGATGTGGGAGGGAAAGATGGGAAGCTGGAGAGGGGGCAGGGCTTGACAAGTTTTCACCCTCAGGGCCTGGCTTGAGTCACACTGAATTGTCCTTTCTCTTAATTCCTTCCTCAGAGACGCAGCTGCACAGCTCCCTTTGCCGTCCCAACTTGCCCCACACTCTTACAGAATCCTGAGAAGTGTGGCCAAACCATTCATGCCAGATCTGGTTCCTCTCCTCTCCTCTCCACTCTCCAACTGGCTATCCCCCATCCTTCTCCCCACTCTCCAGAAACCTTCAAGGAACAGCCCTAGGGCAGCAAATGGTCACCCACAAGCTCCTGGTTGACACTTGGGTAGATGCATAGAGGTAAGTGTTGGTTGAGAAGCTGCTGAAACGTCAAACTTCCTTTCTCTTCTTGGTGGAGCAAAGTCCTGGATGCTGGTCTGTGCAGTGGCATGATCAGAAAACCTGCACTCGGAGCTCCCGAGGAACTGGAGGGCGGGCTGGGATTTTTCTGTGGGTCGCTCAAGTCTCCCGCTCACATGCCTCTTGCTCATGTCCTCTCTCCTTTCATCGCCCTAAATCACAGGCTCCGAGCTGATAAGCTTTGGGTGCTATGAAGAACAAACACTTTGGCTTAGTGCGGAAGGCCGGTCATTAGTATTTCTTTCAGGCTATTAATAGGGTCCAGAGAAACTTTAGCAGAAGTGGATTATCAGAAGAAAGTGGCCCTGGCATGGCTGGTTGTGAATTATAATGAAAAGAGCGAGTTTCCTGAGTATTTTGCTGACTGCTTTTCTCTTTCCCTTTGTCAGCTGCATTCAGGCAAGAAACCGGAGCTGAGGAGACCAGGCAATGTCTGCTGTGTGGTTAGCACAGCGATCACAGCCACACGCCGCGGACGGAAGCCAGCCCGCAGAGCTGCCCCTCCCCCAGTCCTTTCCTGGGAATCCAGTGTGGTCAGCAGAGCCTTTGGAAACTGGAATGGTTTGGAGGTAAATCTGGGCACAGAGAAGCTGGGGCCCAGAGTTAATTACAGAGGAAATGACCCTGGTCTGGTCTCTGAGGGGCTGGCTGGTCCAGTTTCCCAGCAGCGCAGCCCCTGGAAAAGTAGAAAGTAGCAAGGGAGCAGCGGCCCCTCCCTCTGCCTCCTTCCCACCCCTGTGCCTCTCTCTCGCCCTCCTTCTCCCTCCCTCTGATGCTCTTACAGAGGAGCTGGAGTTGCTTGCTTGGATCGTTGCCAGTGCGGGAGCCTGGAAGCTCTGATGGCTGTCCCGGTCACCGAGGTCTGGCCGCCGACAGAGCCACCTTCCTCTGGATGACTCCCACCAGCTCACGTGAGGCCTGGGGACCAGGGCGTGGAGCTTTGGTCTCTTGGTTTAGAAACGACACTCGGGAGAGTTGGTCATCCACGGTTTTGGGTGTCACAGGAGACAGTGAGAAAGAAAGGAGCCCAATGAGAAGCCACCCGCTTGTCCTTCAAACGCATAAGGACAGAATAGGCAGAGAGAGAGGGAGAGGCAGCGGATAGTAACATGGGGAGGCTACAGCCATTTCTACCGAGGCAAGGGCTCAGTTGATCAGGAGCTTCCATACAGGAGCGGAGGGCCGTCTCCCCCCTGCAGGCACAGGAGAAGGATAGAAAGAAAGTGTCACAATAAATATGGCGGCGTCTTTAACCTATGCTCTTCAAGTATTGCTTGCTGTAAACAGGGTTTGAGTTTTGCTTTCTCTTGAATTGCCAAGAAACCACTGGCCGATTGGAGTGCAGTCCAAAGTCAGACACATGGGCCCCCCCCAATCGGCTCCTGAATGGAATCTCCCAGCGGCCTGGGCTGCACACCTCCAGGCGCTTTCCCCCAGGGTGCCTGGTTCAAGCCTGTGACTGATGTAAGGCCACGCTGCCCCGCGTTCACAAGGAGGCCAGGCGTCGGGTCTGGGAGAGGCCCACCTCCCCTCCAACGTCTCAGAGTAACTTTACAGAAACCAAAGGGACAAGTACCAGAGATGAGCTCCTCGCTTCTTGCGGTTTGAGATGAAATAAAGCGAAAACAAACACAAACACAGTAGCAAAAAGCACTGGGGCTCTGGAGACACACAGCCCCTCTCCAGAGATGAGACCACACGGGGGTGTGGTACGTAAAGCTCAGCGCCCAGCCAGCGGGGTCGAGTCCCCTCCATGGCCGTGTCGTCTGTGCCGGGTTCTGTAGCTCCTGTTGGCCGCCGGGATAATTCCAGGTTTTACTGGCCTCTATTTTTGCGAAGTGTTTGGCGTGAACTTGTGCTCATTCTTCTCCTCCTTCTCATTTTCTTGTAATTTCAAGGGAGAGGAAATGCTCATTTTCCCTCCAATTTCTCTCAGCTTCTCTTTGTAGGCTTTTTCTGGCATTTGGAAAGAGGAGTCACTCGAGGAAGGGGGGAGGGAAGGAGGAAGGGGGGCAGAAATCAGAATGAAACAGAAGTTGGACGGGATTAACAGGGAGGCTTTTTGTTTTATTTCTGTTTTTTTTTTTTCCTTTTCTTAAAAAAAATTAAATAAAGTTCTCATTATTTCCCCAATATACATCAAATGAGTTTTCATGCAAAGCAGCAGTCACAGAGGCAGAACCGTCCCCAGGTAGTGCCTCTCGGCTTGAAGAGCCACCATCTCTGCGTCCCTGCTCCTCTCTGGGTCTCACTGTGGAGGGATGGCGCCCACGGGCTCTCCCTGCGGGAACCGGCTGTCACGAAACGTGGCTGGCGTGGGGAGAGGGGCCCTCCCCTCTCCCCGGGACGGGGTCTCAGGGGACAGCAAGCTCTGGGGTCTGATCCCCTTCACTTGTCCTTCTTCTGAGACTCGCAGGGTGACGGCTTGCACGGGTGCCTCTTCCCGGGAAGGCGAGGCTCCGTCTCTCAGCTCTCAATGGACATGGCGTTTATGAGCTGTTCCACTTTGTACGCCAGCCGCTGTCGCCGGGCCTGTTCGTCCTGCTCTAGGGCCCCGATGAGCTGAGGAATGAAAACAGAGGTGGGGAAGACGTCAGGACTAGGTTTAGAAGAAGCCATTTGCTGAATCCTCCATCCTTCTTTCTGCCTTTCCATCCCGCCCTAATGAACATATCCTGAAATCATGTAAATGATTAACTGAATGTGTGTATGGATATGGATATATCTTTAAACAATTTTTTTAATGTTTATTTTTGAGAGAGACACAGACACAGCGTAAGTGGGGGAGGGGCAGGGTGGGAGGGAGACACAGAATCCGAAGCAGGCTCCAAGCTCTGACCTGTCAGCACGGAGCCCGATGCGGGGGTCGAACCCAGGAACCTTGAGATCATGACCTGAGCCGAAGTCAGATGCTTAACCAACTAAGCCACCCAGGCGCCCCTGTGCATGGGTATATCTTAAGACAATGTGTTTAAAACAATATTTGGCAGGGGCACTTGGGTGGCTCAGTGAGTTAAGCGTCCAACTACAGCTCAGGTCATGATCTCGCCGTTCGTGGGTTCAACCCCCGCGTAGGGCTCTGTGCTGACAGGTCAGAGCCTGGAGCCTGCTTTGGATTCTGGGTCCTCCTCCCTCCCTGCCCCTCCCCTGCTCATGCTCTGTCCCTCTCTGTCTCTCAACAATAAATAAATGTTAAAAAATAAACAATATTTGTCATATATGATAAAGTAGCATGTAAGCTATTATCATTATTATTAGTATTACTAATGCCAATTTCAGGTACAGTGCCAATGCATGCCTTGTAAATTCTCTGCAGCTGTCTTATTCAACCTCTCCTCATGTTAAGGTCCACCTGCGTACCTGAAATGTAACTGACGGATGTGCCCAAGTGCAAAGAATAGTCTGATTCACTGTTTAAGAAAGAATGAAATTAATTGCACAACACTTTGAAAGGAAAAATAATTACATTACAAAAGTGTTATTTATTATGTTAACAAAGAGTGGAAGACAATGGAATGTGTAAGAAAGCACTGGATGAATTGGAGAGGATAAGGCTGCCTTCTAAGGGAATGGTAATGATTTTTAAGCTCCTGGGTTTTTGATTCGGTGAGTGTGTTTTCTAAACTACCCTCTGTTGCTGTTACTTAAGGGCTGGAACTTTAACTGCCTTTCTGGCTGCGTGTCAGTCCCTGTTCCCGCCCCCCCCCCCCCCACGGCCCGCACCGCCTGGTACCCGGAGAACCCCAGCCGAGTCTAGGGGGTCACATTCCGAGGGGACTTCAGCATGTGCCGCCTTTTCAGCCTGGAGAAAGACTGCTCGGCGAGGTAGGCGTTCATGTCCTGGTCACTGATGGCGGGGAGCTTGGCGATGTCCGCATAGTATCTGTCGTGGAGAGGACAGGCTCCNATTCGGTGAGTGTGTTTTCTAAACTACCCTCTGTTGCTGTTACTTAAGGGCTGGAACTTTAACTGCCTTTCTGGCTGCGTGTCAGTCCCTGTTCCCCCCCCCCCCCCCCCCACCCCGGGCCCTGCCGTACCTCTTCGCTATATTTGCTGACGTAGGAGTAGATCTCGTTGAGGGCGCTCAGCATGTTGAACTCCACAGCATGCAGACGGGACTGCTCGGCGAGGTAGGCGTTCATGTCCTGGTCACTGATGGCGGGGAGCTTGGCGATGTCCGCATAGTATCTGTCGTGGAGAGGACAGGCTCCGTAATGGGGACCTGGCACACATTCGCCTACACTGCTCTGACCCTGAGAGCACTGGACGTCCCCAGTCGCTCCTGCCTCCCAATTCCTCTTCTGAGGCGTCTTCCTCTGGCCTCTCGTCTCAAGCTAAGGTCGAGGCCTGGAGACTGTTGCTCACTAGGCCAGACTCCACCCAGCTCTGAGCTCCCACTATCGTGCCCCCCCCAACAATACTTAAAAAAAGCCCAGACGCTGACCGGACTCCGACCAGACTCCTTGTATTCCAACCCCAGCTCTACCACCTGCTAGCTGTGTGACCTTGTGCAAGTTCCTGAGCGTCTCTGTAACTCAATCGCCTCATCAGTCAAATGGCAATGACCCTTCGCTGCTCTGTTGGATATTATAATGAGATGATTCATAAAAAAATCTTTATCACAGGACTGGTTGCTTAGCATGTGCTCAATAACAGGTAATCAGAATGATAATGATCTGTGCTCCCAGAGCACAATGCGTCTCCTTCTCCCCCATCAGGAAGTTTGGACAAGGGGGAAGGGCGGGGACGTGAGATCTGAGGTTACCACAGACACGGCTGTGAGTCCTCCGTGAAGCCCACAGCGTGGGGGGATGGAGCAGACAGACAGGGGTGTGGGCCTGTCCCGGGGGTGCTACTGACCTCTCCACCCAGCTCTTGTAGCTGGGGATGTCCTTGGCATAGAGCAGCTTGTTGGAGGGGGAGTCCTTGCCCAGCCGGTGCTCCGATGTGGAGCAAGAGTCCATGAAAGTCTGGGCCACCACAGACAGGCAGGCGTCCGTGATGCTGCCCTTGTGAATGTCGAATACAAACTGGGGGTTCTTGATCACGTTCACCCAGAAGCGCAGAGGCAGGCTGTAGGAAAAGGCAGAGCGGACCCTGAGGGCCAAACCTCCGCTGTGCCCCTGATGTTGTACAAGTAAAAACTCTCCTCCTTCTACAAGTAGAAACTCTCTCTCCCGAGGGCAAGGGAATGTAATCACCCAGAACTGGTCCAGCCAGGGCTGCTAATTGAGCCTAAGCGGTTCCTGACCCTGGGAGAAGAGGAGAGACACGCCATTGGGGTTGACCCTGATCCCTACCAACAGAGGGGTGGATGTAGGTGGGTTCTGTTCCCTCCAGGCAGCCTTTGCCAGAGGCCTCCATGCCCCCAGGGAAGCCTAAATACAGAGAGCTACACGATTTTCTCAGAGCTTCAAACAAAGCCACCAGACTCCCGGAGTCCCTTCACACAGTGCCATGGCTGTTGTCCGGAAGGACCCGGCCAGCAGCCTCAGGCGCTGCCTCGGAGCTCCACAAAGGGCGCCACCTGCTCCCCGCCCAGCCTGGCCCCCTGAGCCTCTTCCCAGGGCTGGCCAGGCCCGGAGGCTGGGGCTGAGGAGTGGGCCCCCCTGGGGGTGCCTCTTTCAGGGCTCTCCAGGGCTCTCCCCTGGCTGGGCAGTGGCAGAGGGAGGAGCGGAGGCGATTGTGGGCATGCTGAGAATGACTCAGTGTACTCAGAGTTTTCCCACCCCAAGAGGAACTGATCAGTCGTTAGGAGTGTTCCTTCTGCAACCTGGGAATTTATAGTCACAGGAGAATGACTTTTCTCTGCTCCTGAGGCCATACGGAGGAAAAGCCCATTTATTCCCCTTCAAAATCAGAACAGCTGCTGTC